GACATGTCAGCAATTGTTACCAGGTGAGAGTGGTACCCATCTGAGGAACACAGAGAAAACAACTTTGGGGGAAGAATAATGCATTTTTGCTTTGGGGTGTGTTCAGTTTCAAGTATAGGGGAACATGTAGGTAGAGATATGCGGAAGATAGTTGGAGACTTAGGTCTGCAGCTGCTTAAATTGATTTGTGCAAGAGATACAGATCTGAGAAATCAATCCAGCAAATACTGTTGCGCATTTGTTCTTCACCAGACTTTAAAGCACAGAAGTCCTGCTCTCTCTCACAGAGCTTATCTTTTGGGGTGGGTGGGTGAAGATGGTCATCAAAGGTTGACATATAAGGGGTGTTGAACCTGATGCCCAACAACTGTCCCAGAGCCCTTTGCTGTTCATGACTATGATAGATCAACTTTTACAGGACCTGTTGTTCAAATCAACCTGTTTCATAATGTTTCTATTAAAACCCTTCCTCTCTGAAATCAATAAAAATATGTGTGTGTTTCTTTAAGTAAGTATGTCTATATATATTAAAGGCTAATGTGCAAAAAACATCCCCTCGAGGAGATGTACCAGGAGACGGAGAGTTCAATTGCTCTCTATGATGTGTGCTGACCACCAGGGAGAGGGGAGGATGGCACAGAATGAAGGAAGGCCCCAATTGGCCCTGATCACCAGCTAGGCCTAGGAACACTACCCATGAACGAATTTCATGCACTGGCCTCTAGTTGTGTTATATATATCTTGTTGAATGAGTCATTAGTTCACAGTTCCTTTATTGTTTCTTATATGCAAATAATGTGCCTAAATATTTGAAACTATGCTGTGTGAGGTATAGACAAATATTCTCTCTATGTGTCTCTGTCTATTCTCTGTGTGTCACACACACACACACACACACACACACACACACATACATCACTTAATATTTCTAAACCATTTACTGAAACTTTGGCAGCAGGATGTTTTGTGGTTGCTTACTTTTTATTCTCATTGTTTGGTTTGTCTTTCTTTTTTTAAATATATACTTTTATTAATTTCAGAAAAGAAGGGAGAGGGAGAGAGAGATAGAAACATTAATGATGAGAAAGAATCATTGATGGTTGCCTCCTACAGGCCCCCTACTGGGGATCAAGCCTGCAACCCAGGCATGTGCCATTGACTGGAATCAAACCCAGGACTTTTCAATCTGCAGGCCAATGCTCTATCCACTGAACAAAACCAGCTAGGGCTGTTTGGTTTTTCTTGATAACTTCTATTCCTTATACAGATATAAGATACTAGAAGCCCAATACACAAAATTTGTGTAAGAGTAGGCCTTCCTTCTTGTGGCTGCTGGCACCAGCTTCCCTCTGGCACCTGGGACCTGGGCTTCCCTTACAGCCCCGGCTTAGTCTGAAGGACATCCAGAAGGACGTCGGATCTAATGAGCATGTTATGCTTTTATTATTACAGATTATGTTGGAAAGCATATGTAGCTCGCTTCTCTCTAAGCCCATCTTCTTTTGACTAAATGTGGGGATTGAGTTCTTTGATTGTTGTTGCTTTTCATGTCTTATAAAAAAGAAAAGCTGTTCTCCCTTGTTGCTTTCCCAACCTCACTTTTACATTAATTCCCAGTTAGTAATCCACTCCCTAAATGCACTCACTATCTTACCTACCTTGATTTAAACACTGCAATTAGTAATTGAGGGTTCCACTTAATGAGCTGCAATCGACTTTCATGTGTAGATTTTCTAATTGGTGGTTAGGTTAATAGCCATGTTTTAGAGAGTCTCACTTTACTTGAAATTGACATGGCTGTTGTAACATGCAGAACAAGCTTTGCAGTATGCTTCCATCAGATGACAAAGTCTGTCAGTTCTGTCTTTCCCAGAATTGTGAAGATGTAGCCCACGTTAATAAGTATTGAGTTTGGAAATCTACATTTTTAGTTGTGACATTAGGAATAATAATTCATGTGACTAAACTTCTCTACAGAATACAGAAGAGACTCCCTCATATACTCCTTGGATATTGAAATACGATTTGGCTCCTTCACAGCCCTACAGGAATGTTCCGTCGCTTAAAATATACCATAGCTGGAGATTTTTCATTTTTTATTTTGGTTTATTGGTTGTTTTGTTCTGCCTTTTGTGGTTGCTGTTGCTGTTTTTAATGCTTTTACAGTACTGAATGTCAAACTAAGGATTGTGCGTTGGGTAATATACTAGATGAAGTTTGGGGGCAATAGAAATCTTGATTAATTCACAAGATAATCTGCTGAGAACCAGCTACATTAAAAACAATACTAAGCTCTATATTCAAAGAATGTTACAAATTTACATTAACTAATATAATATATACTGGAGGCCTAGTGCATGAATTTGTGCACTGGTGGGGTCTGGCTGGCCCAGCCCCAATCGGGGCTGATCAGGGCTGGTCCTGTTGGGAGGAGAAGATGGCAAGAAGTTGGCTGGCTTGCCCACTGCTGTAGAGCCTAAGACCATTGGAAAATATAGATATTTACATTATGATTCATTAACAGTAGCAAAATTACAGCTATGAAGTAGCAAAATTACAGCTATGAAGTATATATATATTATATATATATACTCAATATATATATATACTGAGTAACCAGATTATTATGTGTTCAGAGATCACAATAATCTGGCCACTCAGAGTGTGTGTGTGTGTGTATGTATATATATATATATATATATATATATATATATATATATATATATATATTTCCCCCCCCCTAATACATTTTTATTCATCATTGATGGGCTCCTCGCCCCTCCCCAAGAGGTCTGTGATGGGGCTGAAAGTACTAGCCCTCTAATAACACAGTTGGTTCCTCTGGTAGTCAGCTCCCATCCAAAAGCATATAGAGTTCCACAAACAGTTACCCTATTAGCATAAAACATGGAAAGAGCTTGTTATGAATAACAAAAGATGCTCCTATCCACAGGAAACTCCAATAGGTTTTAGATGCTCCATGTCAGAAACTGGGGACCAAGAACAAAAACATATTTCTTATTGTATCACAGTTTTCCCCATGATTAGCATTATTATTTGCTCTTACAAGGCCTTCACCACTTGACTAAACCCGGACAAATAGGATTAACTCCTCACTCTGTATGTCCACTGTGGCCCCTCAGTTCCAGCCCATTTGCCACCCCTTTCCCCACAGATGCCCTGTGACCTGGACACCACACCCAGTTCCCCAAATGGGAGCTACTCCTTCGGGCATCCCAGAAGTTTAATTCTCTGTTTTAAATGTCCTTCTCCCCTGGTGGGCTTGCAACTTCCCACTTACTCTTCATTCATCAGCTAAACCTCCTCAGGTGGCAAGTGCTGAGTAAGACTGAGGCTTAGAAAGGGACTGCGCACCCTCTCTCTCCCTCCCCTACGTTACTTGTGGTCTTTTAACATCTTGACAATTCCCCGCCTCCCTCCTTTTGCCCTCTCCCCCACACCCACCACCCCCTTTTCACTTTAAATCCCCTTCCCTCTTACTTTGACCCATGCAAGACCTGGCCATCCTTCGAAGCCCAGGAAGTGCCACCTCTTTCAGGCGACTTTCCCAGTTGAGCTCATACAACATTCCTCTGTGCTGCTCTGTAAGCCCCTCCAGCAATCACTGTGTCTTAATGATCTTTGGACTTCCCCACGGAGTTCAGCTAAGAATCTTGCACTTAAGTGGGGATTCAAGGCTTTGATGACAGTGTTTCCCAAAGTGTGATACACGTATCCCCAGAGGTACGGGAAGAGTTTGGTGGGGGTACGCGTTGCACCAGAGTTTGGTGGGGATATGCACAGCACTGGGCTTAGCTGTGCCTAATTCTACATTCTTATGAATTCGAGGGGTACTCAGCGTTACAAAAATTATAAGAGTACACATATGTCAAAAGTTTGGGAAACAATTGTAGCAGATAGAACCCAACTGATGGAACCCCAACTCGCTCCCTGTTCCACTGGCCAGCTATTTTTAGCACATCAGGGTCACCCTGGTATTGTTAATACAGAAAGAAAGCCTTTTCTTGCTATGCAAGCTCCATTTTGGCTGACTTCAGGAGAAAGGGAGATATAAGCCCGTTCCTTAGAGAAGGTGTTTTATTGTATTCACCAAAGGATAATGGGGAGAAGAATGGCACAGTGTAACAAGGAAGGAAGGAAATGAACTAATTCCTGCTTTAGAGGGGAGTATACAATAGCTGTGCACCAGGCTGAAGGAGTGTTTTCCAAAAGCACACAAAACAAGATGATTAATTATATGCACCGAAACCCACAGCGAGCACTTCCAATGAGAACAGGGACTGTCCCAGCACTGGGGCTACCTGCATACTCTGAATCTGTAAATGCTGCCTCGAGACTCCGACCACGGGAAGCAGTCCCCCTAAAAGCATAACTAATATGCTTGGGGAATATTTTATGTGATAATCATTCACTTTTCTATATGCTATTCTCTTTGAAGTTCAAAGAGAATGAAATGATCAGAGGGCTACTACTACAAATGAATGACTATTCACCAGGGGTGGGGGAAAAAAATGTAGCATTCATATCGGGAGAGTTTATCCTTTTGTAGTCACCCCTTGGGCTCAATACGAAGAGTTTATGTGTTTTTTTCAAATTCTGTTCTCAAATAAAAGCCTGCTGGCATTACCTTCACTTTATTGCCCAAAGCACACACAGCTGTTTAATAAAATATATGCAACAAGGTAAGATGAAGCGCAAACTGAGATTCCCGCCTCCCTCTTCCACCCCTTTCCCCCATTTCAACAAATTTAGTTAGGCAAACAGGGCATGCCAATGCAAAAAAGATTCCCTGAAGCCATGTAAAATAACAAGGAGAGAAAGCCATTCTACCGAGCCCTGTATTTACAGTTGTGGAAGTTACATAATGACTGCATAAATATTTGTCAAAATTCTTGGGTGAAACCAAGAAATAAAGGCCAAGTTTCCCATGGGCTTTAGGATAAGAGGAACACGGAGGGCCGGCCTGCCCCAGGTGCCCCTCACTGCACATCCCAGATCTCGCAGAGGAGCGGGGTGAACTTGTGGTCATTGACCCGCCAGGACATCAGCATCTCGGCGTGGTGGTGGTTGAATGTCCTCAGCTCCGTCAGGCGGCCCAGGAGACAGGCGAAATGCTGGGGGTTCTCCGGCTGGTGGATCTTGCACAGCTTCTGCAGCACGTCCAGCAGAGGTTCCTGAAGCTTCTCTACGGCCTCTCTGTCCTTTATGTATTGTCTGTCTGTTTTGACGTTTAACATAAAAGGACAAAATTAAAGAGTGGAAGGTTTGGCATATTACAGTAAGCCTAACCTTTAGACTATATATATATAAAAGATGAAAGGAGAGAGAGAGGTAGAAACATCAATGATGAGAGAGAATCATTGAGCAGCTGCCTACTGCATGCCCCACACTGGAGATCAAGCCTGTAATCCAGGCATGTGCCCTGACCAGGAATCGAACCGTGACCTCTTGGTTCCTAGGTTGACACTCAACCTCTAAGCCACGCTGGCCAGGCAAGGCTAACCTTCTTGAAGTGTAACTCACACATGTTGTACAGTTGAAATGTACAAATGAAGTGTTCAATTTGATGAATTTTCACATTCACGTACATGTACTCATATAATAGTAACTAGATCAAGATATAGAATATTTACAGGCCTCCCTAAACTTCCCTTTCAATTAATGCCCCCAAAGTAGCATGTATGGTGAACATAAGTATCATTTCTGGTGGGTATAACCTAAGGACTGGAACTTGGGATGTAGGGTTTATATATGTATAACTTTAGTAGGCGCCGCCAAAATCTTTTTCTTCTTGCCCAGCCAATGTAGCTCAGTGGTTGGACATTGATCTATGAACCAGGAGGTCATGGTTCAATTCCCCATCAGGGCACATGCCCGAGTTGTGGGCTCATTCCTCAGTATGGAGTGTGCAGGAGGCAGCCGATCAATGATTCTCTCTGTTGATATTTCTATCTTTCCTTCTCCCTTTCTCTCTGAAATCAATAAAAAATATATTACAAATGTTTTTCTTCTTTTTAGTGATAATTTTTTATGGTACAACAAGGTAACAAGTAGCTTCTGACTTAATGTCACATATAAAATGGCTTAAGGCCACAACTTATGAATGTGGCATCACTCCAAAATAAATAAGCAAAAAATAGAAAACTGCATATATAGAGGTATTCATTTCAACATTGTTTAGAACAACAAATAATTGGAAGTATTCTGAATATCCAAACATATGGTAAAAGTTAGGTAAATGATTGGTCATCAATACAATGGAATATGATGCTTGCATTACTATAAACTTTTCCAGTATAATTTTTTTTAATGACATGGGCAAAGACGTTTGAAGAACAGTATATTTTAAAACAAGACATTTTGGTGTGGCTCAATTGGTTGGAGTGTCATCTCATGCACTTAAAGGTTGTGGGTTCAATTCCTGTTCAGGGCACATACTAGTACTGAAGTTGAAGGTTCAATCCCCGGGGGGGGGGGGGGGGGGGGGGCTTGTATGGAAGGCAACTGATCAATGTTTCTTTCATATATTGATGTTTCTCCTATCTCTCTTTCTTTTCTCTCTCTCTATCTCTCTCTCCTCCCCTACATCCCCCATCTCTAAAAATCTGTAAAACATATATTCCAATGAGAATTAAAAAATAAAATAGCCCAGCCAGTATGGCTCAGTAGCTGAGTGCCAATCCATGAACCAAGAAGTAACTGGTTCAATTCCCCAGCAGAGCACATGTTCAGGTTGCAGGTTCCATCCCCAGTGGGGGGGCTTGTAGGAGGCAGCCAATCAATGATGTTTCTCTCTTATCAATGTTTCTATCTCTCTCTCTAAAAATCAATTAAAACATATATTAAAAAAAAAAAACTAAGGTGTGACATGGGCAAAAAATAAATGAGTAAAATAAAATTTAAGACAGTGTTCTTTCTATTACGTTAAAAAGTATGTACATACTTTCATTTAAGCTCCTCTTTAATAATCCCTGGAAAAAAAAACACCTTACTTTACCACTAATTACAATAATATTCTAGCCGAAATCGGTTTAGCTCAGTGGATAGAGTGTCAGCCTGCGGACTGAAAGGTCCCGAGTTCGATTCTGGTCAAGGACATGTACCTGGATCTCAGGTACATCCCCAGTAGGAGGTGTGTAGGAGGCAGCTGATCGATGATTCTCTCTCATCAACGTTTCTAACTCTCTATCCCTCTCCTTTCCTCTCTGTAAAAAATCAATAAAATATATTTTAAAAAAGAAAATGGCTGTGTTTAAAAATATATATATATTCTACTTCCACTTTCTTTCCTTATAGTCTCATCTTTAAATTTTTGTAGCACTTTCGACCTCAATAATTACTACAAATTATTTTTGTTTCTTCATTAGTTGTTTTTCTAACCCCACTAGAGTGTAGCTGTGTCCTGCCCATTTTTTTACTTCCATATTCCCCAATGTCTAGGACCATGTTTAGCACATAGTAGGTATTAAAAATGTATTTACTGAATGAAAGCGAGGTTTAGAAGAAAGGCTGAGAAGAAACACATTGAAATGTTAACATGATTCAATTTGAAGCGGTGGAATTAAAGGCCATTTTACTTTTTTCTGTTTCTGTTTCCCAGATTTTCTTTAATAAACATGATTATGATTATACTGGAAAAAATGAAAAAATAGAATAAAAATGAAAATCCAACATCAAAATTACCTGGAGAGAGAATAACAATGGCTGTAAGCAGTGCATACTCTTCTTGAGTCATTTTCAATTCTGCCACACTTTTGTAAAAACTAAACATCGGCGTTATATATTCATCAGAAATACCTGTGGAGTGGGGGAATGTGAAAAATTGCAGAAGCCTGGTAAAGTTGCTGAATAACTGAAATTGTAAAATTATAAACACATCGCATATATACAAACACGTGAATATTAGCACCCATATCCACATGTTTAAATAACGTCAATATATATTATATGTTTCAGCCAAAGGCCGGGCAAAGGTCAGCTAACAAAATCCTCCAAATATGACTAAATCAATGATTGGTTGAATCTTTAATCTTGGTAGTGCCTTTGTTTAGTCACTACTGTCTGACAATAAATGATAATATTCCTGACTTTCAAAACAGTCTTCTAACGTCACCCATTTTCCAGATGGGGTTTGCTCATCTTTTCCATATTAATATCTATAATCAGCGCATAGATAGCATCTTAAGTAACCACCCCCCCAATTATTGTTCTTGAGCCCAGAAGTGTCAACAGCTTCACTTAGTAATGTTTAGAGTTCTTATCAGAGTTCTGATATCTCTCTGAACTACTAAACCTGTTCATCCATCCTCTGCTAGGCATTGGGGCTTGGCTGTTCTCTTCGAACTTAACATGTCCAAAATTAAGACAACACGAACAAAGCGAAACTCTTTCTTTTCCTGGAAACGCACCTCGTTCCTGCTGTTCCCACTCTCAGTGACTGCTACTCTAAAGTATCACCTGACAGTGAGATTCAGCCTCCCTCTCATGGGGTCAGAGGCTGCCTCCTGTGGTTAGACCTGCTAACTCTTCACTGAGCGGCTCCCTGTCCTCTCCACTGCACCTGGAATTAACTTAGTTTAAGTCTTTATCCTCTTCATCTGGAACACTGCAATAGCCTCCTCACTGGTCTTCCTGTCTTCAGTTTAGTCTCCTCCTCCCCCATCTCAGAATTACCTTTCCAAACTTCAAATCACATCCTGACTCCCCACTTCCTACAAACCTTCAAACATTCTCCATGGAACAATTATTGGCATAATTGTTCTCCCTTTTTACAAAGGAAACTCCAGAACCTGTCCCCTGCCTACCCTACCCACCCACTACTCACCCACGTGAGAATCACAGGAATTCACATTTATTGAGTGCACGGTTCCAAACACTTCTTATGCTATTATAGCTCATTTAATCTTCCTAACATTCCATGAGATGGGTACAGAGAGGTTCTAGAACTTGCTCAAAGACACAGCTGATAAGAGGTAGAGCCAGGATTCAAACCAAAGCTAGCAGGCTCCAGAGTCCTGGCTTGTAGCTATGACTAAGCTTTCCATTATATCTCACGGCCTTTATACCGGCCATTGCAGTTTCTAAAGTTCCCATCTCCCAGTTTTTAAAAAATTAATTCTCGCCGAAACTGGTTTGGCTCAATGGATAGAGCGTCGGCTTGGGGACTGAAAGGTCCCGGGTTCGATTCCGGTCAAGGGCATGTACCTAGGTTGCGGGCGTATCCCCAGTAGGGGGTGTACAAGAGGCAGCTGATCGATGATTCTCTCTCATCGATGTTTTTAACTCTAACTCTCTCCCTTCCTCTCTGTACAAAATCAATAAAAGTTATATTTAAAAAAAATAAATAATAAATAATAAATTAATCCTCACCCGAGGATATGTTTTTGTTGAATTTTTAGAGAGGAAGGAAGAGAGCAGCGAGAGTGAGAGAGAAACATCAATGTGGGAGAAACCTCAATAGTTTGCCTACCACACTTGCCCTGAATGGGGATCGACTCACATCCCAGGTGTGTGCCCTGACCTGAAATCAAATCTATAATCTTTTGGTTCATGGGATGACACTTGAACCAACTGACCACCTGGCCAGGGCACATTGCTCAGGATTTATATATGTTCTTCTCTCTACTTGGTATATCCTCCTTCTTTCTTTATCTCGCTTGCTCCACGTTATAAGTTAAGACTCCTTTGTGTTACTTCCTCCACTGATTCAACAAACACTAGTTCCTGTGCATGGATCCACTCCAGAAGAGCTTTGACGGTGGAATGTGGAGACAGGAAAAAAGACTCTGATGTGATCTATGGATGAACTGAGAAGAACATAAGTTCCCAGGATTGGGCCAGACTTAGACTGCTCTATTCCATCCAGACCAGACCTAAAGCCATAGAGTTTGGAGAGCCAAACCAGGACAAAACTGGATTCCAGATTCTAGAACACGTAAGTATCATCTGATAGTACACTTCACAGAATCAGAATGTCTAAATCCTCACCTCCAGAAGAATCTAAAGAAGCATCTCAAACCAAATCCTTGGCCTTTCTCTCTTTAGTCAAAAGACCACACTTTTCTTCCCTTTGACTTTTGAATCTTGACTCCAGTGGGCTCTCTTAACAACAGTGTCACTGTAGAGCACCTTGGGGATTGCATCCTGTGGAAGACTGCCCTCTAGCCAGCTGTTTCCGGTTGCACTGAATGTGCAGGACCAAACTAGATGTAACTTAAAATGCAGAGGGTTGGGTTGGAGTGTGAGTGAGCCTGGGAGTATCGGTGCTGGCTTCCAACAAACAGTGGTTGAGAGGTAATAACCAGTTTGAAGTCTGACCTATGACTTGGTCTTGGCCACATTACTTAAACTCTTTAAGCCTCAGTTTCCTCATCTGTGAAATGTGACTTATAACAATAGTAGCATACGAGATAATATACATAGAGTGCCTGGCTAAGAGTAAAACCTGCATAAATACTACAGCCAATTCTATATAATAAAAGGGTAATATGTAAATTAACCCTAATGGCAGAACAACAGGGAATGATTGGTCGCTATGATGCGCACTGACCACCAGGGGGCAGATGCTCGGCATAGGAGCTGCCCCTGGTGGTCAGTGCACTCCCACAGTGGGGAGAGCTACTCAGCCACAAGCCAGGCTGAAGGGCTCTGGGGCTACCAGAGGGATGTCTGAGTGCCATCTTAGGCCCAATCCCCTGGGGAGCAGGCCTAAGCCAGCAGGTGGACATCCCCAGAAGGATCCCAGACTGCAAGAGGGTGCAGGCCGAGCTGAGGGGACCACCTCCCCTCCCACCACCCCAGTGCATGAATTTTTGTGCACCAGGCCTCTAGTAATTATTATAAGAGCTATTATTGTTATTCAGGATAATTGGATGAATGCATTAGTTCCATCTTAGTATCAATTCATCATAATCTTAGGTTAAGCTCAGGTACCTTTGTGTATGCAAAGCTATGTTGATTTTGTTTTTAATAATTCTTGTTTAAAACATATTTTTATTGATTTTAGAGAGGAAGGAAGAGGGAGAGAGAGAAAAACATCAATGATGAGAGAGAATCACTGATCAGCTGCCTCCTGCACGCCTCCTACTGGGGATCGAGCCCACAACCCAGGCATGTGCCCTTGACTGGAATCAAACCCAGGACCCTTCTAGTCCACAGGCCGACATTCTATCCATTGAACAAAACCAGTTAGGGCGTTTGTTTGTTTTCTGTTTGTTTGTTTGTTTTTTGTTTTGTTAAGTTTTTTTTAAGTATATTCTATTGATTTTACACAGAGAGAAATTGAGAGGGATAGAGAGTTAAAAACGTCAATGAGAGAGAAACATCAACCAGCTGCCTCTTGCACACCCCCCACCAAGGTACGTGCCCTTGACCTGAATCAAATCCAGGACCTTTCAGTCTGCAGGCCAACACTCTATCCACTGAGCCAAACCGGTTTCGGCTAGGGCATATTTTTAATAATTCTTTATTGTTGAAGTATTTCATATGTCCTTCTTTTTTCTCCCAGGGAGCCCCTCCAGCCCGTCCCCGCCCCCACCCCAGACGCTCACTGCCCCATCATTGTCTGTGTCCATGTACCATGCATATATGCATACGAGATCCTTGGTTGATTACCTTCCATCCATCTACCCTCCCCTGCCTTAAGGCAAAACTATGCTTTTGTTTTGCTTTTACAGTCTGCTGTTTCCTAGGGATGAATATAAATTGGCTGATCAGTGATTTTCTTCAGCATTTTTCTAGGTAGTAAATTTTCGGTAGTAAATTTTTCTAGGTAGTAAATTTTAGTAAAAGGGTTGTCCTTTTATACCTTCAAACAATGTCAGTCCTTAGCACTTGGGGACCACACCTATTAGCTGTGGTTATCTAAAATAATAACTCACAACAGTGCCATTATTTTACATAGTCCATGAAGATTTGGGAGTAATATTAAAGGCAGCTGATTTTAAAATATTTAATATTTAGAAATTGTCTTTGACCACCTAATTTTTTATTTTATTTGTCTTTCCTAAGCCCCAGTTACTTTCCAAAGATGTTACCTCTGTCACAGTGTAACAGAATCTAATTGCAGTTGATAATTTTAGAAAAGTAGGTTAAAATGTTTGTTATGATTTTTCACCTTATGCATGTTTTAAAGGACAAAGTGAACATAGAGAAGATGTAGAAAACAAATAAAAAATATATATATTTTCCTATAGGATGGGTCAAATATAAATCTGCTTTTGAATTAGAATTAATTATCAGAATTAAGCCCAGGCTGGGTAGCTCAGTTGGTTAGTGTCGTCCCAATATGCCAAGTTGTGGGTTTGTTCCCCAGTCAGGGCACATTTAACAACCAACCAATGAATGCATTAATATGTGGAACAACAAATCGATGTCTTTCTCCCCCCACCCCCAAATAAATAAATAAATAAAATCAGAATTAACCACAACAGCATTAAAAAGAGGTGTTTTTGTAAGAGGTCTATGAACAGCAATTTCTGACATAAAAAAATGTAATAATAGCATCTTCCTGAAGGGGCAGTCTTTTCCCATTTTCCTGCTTCCTCCTTACTGGAGACCTGCTTAAAGGTTTGCTTCAATTGGGCTCTTTATGTCCAATTTGCTGATTTTTGGTCACAAGGGGGCACCATTTTCTAACTTAAACATGAAGACTACTGTGAAAAAGTACAAAGTTGTGAAAAGCCATTTATATTCCTATTCCTCTGTTTCTTCTTTTTCTTTTATTTATCAACTGTTTTCTTGTTTTATTTTTTTAAATAGGTCTGTGATTGATATATTAACTGGCCAATGATCAAAAA